AATGGAGACTGAAACTGGGGAGCGGCGACGCTCTGATAAACAGCTTTAGTTTTGTTTGACCTTTTTAAATCTGTAACGGTAGCTAATGTTAGCTGTCCGGCTAACTAGCTTGATTACATGTTTATGTTTCAGCTGTGCATGTATGGTCGGTTGCTAGGCAACAGACACGACAGTCAATTGTCGACTTTGATCGAAGAAGTTAGGATTTCCTGACTGGAGATAAGATGCTGTAAGATAAGATTCCTAAATTAAGATCAGATTTGCTTCTGTAATACAAATCTCATCTTGACCTGTCAGATCTTGAGTTAAGACTAAAGAATAGGACGTTTCTGTGATACGGCCCCAGATCCTCAAACTCCTCATGACTGACTCATCATTACTTCTCAATATATTTCATTAGTTGATCAGATGTTTCATTAGTGTTGGAGCAAATCCTGATTCCTCCAGATTCCTCCAACATTCTTAACTTTGATGTCTTTTAATGTAACAAGTGTATTTCCTTTGAATTTGGAACATTTGTTTTGAGCCATTTTGCACAAAACCTTCACACAATGTGAAGAGCAGCTGTCATTTTCACATTACCAAAGGTTGGCATGTCAAACTGGGGACCTTCCAGGCTAAAGGTCTGTGGAGATCAGCGTCTACCCTCATCTAATGCTCTGAATTCAGTTCATGAAGGCCTTAATCAGCTGATGAGCTGAGTCAGGTGTGTTTAACGAGGCAGCGTGTTGAAGTCTGCAGTGTTTCGGCCCATGAAGACTGGAGCCTGACACACGTGACCTAAAGGAACAAAACCAAATAACCTTCAAACGGTAGAATCTGGCAGTGATTACATTTTGCTGGCAGTTATTTTTCCTTAACAAGTTTGGCACTATAATAAAACCACTGGGTCCAACCTGACCGCCACACTGTAAACACAGAAATCTTGTCCCTGAATATCCACCTATGACGTTTTACATACCAAAAAATACACCTTTTAGAGTTTTATTTATACCTCAGTTAAACAGGTGTAATATGTAAATATATGTAAATGACCTCTCTTCTGCTCTATTTATTATTTTTTGAAACAAACTGGGAATTTCTGAGTGATGATAAACTATTCTGATTAACATTGCTCTGTAAATAAAACCATAACTGTAATTATGCTGTTCACTGAGGACCTGCAGTGTGTTTAACACTGTTCCATTCTTAAAGCTCAATCTGAGTAATAACTAAGACCCGTCACACATACAGAAACAGAAACACTGCATTTCCATCTGTTTTTAATTATTTCATATTTTTCATTATTTTTGGTCAAATTTTGGATGGGCCACTACAGATGATCTACAGATACTTATATTATTAATAGACTTTGTGGTGGTAATTGATTGTCAACATCATTAAGGTTAGGGTTAGGAGTAGGTGTAGGTTTTAACGTGAGGTTAGGATTAGGATTAGGTTTAAAGTCAGGGATTTAATAGAATCTTTCACACGCAGCTTCAAGTTCAGTTGTGTTGAATAGACATTTAGTTGAATATCAGTTAAAGACAGACTGAGCATCTACAAACCATCTACAGTGGACCGTCCAAATAAAGTGATACCTTATTTTTAATGTTTGCCCTTCACTCATTTTTGGAGCGCTGAGTGCAGCTGGAGGCTGAAGCTCCACCTTGTGTCTGTTCTAGTTCATTACAGGTGGCTAACGAGGCTAACTGCCCGTTATTGGTCCAAACAGAATATAAGATGAGAGGAACGTCTGCAGAGTTCATCAAGGTTTCACCATAATTCTGTTCAGATGAATGAAGTAGATTTCCGAGATCCACAGAACACATCTGGGAACAGTTTGCCTTTTTCCGAAACAGTGCTGACCGATATCGATAAAATCCAGTATCGAGATGTTCTTAGAATGGACCACATTATATTTAATCAGCATTAATAAAACTAGAACGATTAAATTAATAAACATTCACCAGAGTTTCTCTGAACTCCCAGGTCGGTCAGGTTTGAGAGCATAATCTGAAAGTTGTTTTTTTTTTGTTTTTTTTTTATTCAGATCTTCTGTGAGTAGAGTGATAACCGTCACTCAGTAAAGTCTTCTGGCACTAGAGGGCGCTTCTGAGCATGTCCAAAATGAATGGAAGTCTATGGAGCTTTTGTACAAAACTGTGATTTGTAAATTTAGTAAAGTTCCTTTTGAACAGAAACATGCACTCATTTCTCAAAACAGAACAGCATGAAATTCTGACACATTTCATTTTTTAGCGCTTTAGAACTCACAGAACTTTCTAACCGTGTCTTATTTACATTCCTGACATCAGTGTATATATAAATTATTTTTTGCAAAAACGTAAAATTCAAGGAAATTCCTGTGAAAAATTAAATATTGAATGAACATTTTTAGCTGTTTTCCTCCATTTACTCATATTCACTGAGGACACCAGCGCCCTCTGCTGATTAGCAGTGACGTTTTCTGATATAACAGGGAAAATACAGCCTTTTAATACTGTATCTTACAGAAGTCCAGAGAGGCCATGAGGCCTGTTGCTACAATTTTCTGGATTGTTATCTTGACATAACAAGTTAAATACCTTGTGATCTCAAGGGAACAACTTTGTTATTCTGAGATCACAAAACTTCTCAATATAACAACTTTAACTCATCTCAAGTTAACAATATTGTTATCTTGATATCACAAGATCAATATAACAATCCAGAAAATTCTAACTACCTCATGGCCTCTCGGGACTTCTGTAGTATCTACACAGGGGAAGAAACATTGTTTGACTGCTTTGCGTGAACATTTTTTTGGTTTATCATCAATGAAACGCAGAGGATAAATCACACAAACGAGCTAAAAGCTGAAGTTAGTAAGGTAGATAACCACCTAGCTAGATAACTGACCTCAGTTTAGCTCCTTTTCTTTGCATAAACTCAACTCTGGTGTCCATTTTGTGCTGAACCGAGTCAGAATCACGGCACTCTCTATATTTCCGTTTGATGGTGGAGGTGATGGATACACTAAGGCTGGCTTTTAGCTGTTTACAGACTAGCAGTCATGACTGGTTGACCCCACAGGGATTCCTAATAGGGAACAGGGTAAAACAAGTTCCGCTATTGTGTTACGGACAGTTATTAACTAAGAAATACAGCCGCTCATATCACTTCAGCCACCACAGACAGGCGAGTCACTTTGGTGAGGATCTTTGTCACAGCTGCCAAGAGGACGAGTCCAGAACTGTTCAGGAACAGAACACATAACAATGCAGGAGTCCGAACTAAAAAAAGGAATAAATGATTTGTGGAAAAATTCCTTCAGAGCTTTTAGAGTAGAATAACGTCAGCCGACATTTTAGCGTGATAAATCGATGCACATGTGAAAATAACTTTAACCAAAACGCTAAATTAGCCATGTTAGCTGGAGATGTTGAAACAGCTCACTAACAGTAAACTAGCTGGCAAAAAGCTGAACACATGTACATGCCAGCAGGGGGCGCCATGTCGTCAGGGTCCGTATTGCCACTGTAGACATTTTACACAAACACCAAATGAACATCTGCTCCCCGCTGAGCTCTCGATCTCTCAGATACCGACAGCTTTAGAGGGAAAATGGAAACTGTTCCTCTGAAAGCGGCTGAAGCAGCAACTTTAAAGCACAGACTGCATTCGGTGTAGCGTCAGTCAGCAGCGCTGAAATGGAGATTCTTTTCACCTATATGACAAACTTTATTCCTTTGTTAATCACACAAACTCGTTTTCCTCTGCTCATCTTCAGCTGACAAACCACTGAAACTGAGATGAGAGGGCACCAGAGGGCGCCCGCGAGAGAGTCCTCAATGAATGGCAGTGAATGGCTGAACAGCTAAAAATGAAAAGTTAAAATAGTTTCTAATCACTCAGAAATTTCCTTTAGTTTTAGGAACTAGAAGGATGGATTTCACTAAATAAACAAAGAAATCTCACCTGTATGTTTCCTTTTTCTACAGTAAACGGGTTTTGGGCAGCAGGACTAACATTACTGCTACTAAGTGCTGATTGGTTGGCAAGCGAAGCAGCTCATTGGCTGTTCGCGCTCACAGACATCATGAACGTACATGAGGCGCCGTTTTCAAACTCATATAACTCGAGTTTAAAAGCTCTTAAATATAAAACAGCGGTGTTAAAATGTTTAATGTTTCAGGAAATTAATGTATTATTTTGTATTAAAAATGTTTCAGCATTTATAAACTGTGATTTTGCTCAAACGCTCCATCTTAACCCATTCATTTTGGACTCGCTCGGGAGCTCCCTCTAGTGTTTGAGAAACCTGAAACACATTACAGAGTGCAACTTATCCTCTCTACAAGTTCTCTGGCGTAACCCTGCAACAAATACGTCCAGCAGAAAAATGCAGAAAAGGGAAAAGAGCCTACAATTGTATGATTTGTATTAGTGCAATGCATGCTGGGTTTTATAGTGAGAGATGGACGAAAACATGAAAATAACAAAATTATGAACTCTGTCAAACCGATGAGGCTGAGAGATGCAGTGCTGCGCTACAGAACATCACTTAATATGATAAATAACATATTAAACTCATTAATATATAAATATATCCCTCAGTTCTTCTAGGTTTACTCAGTTTTTTTCTTATTTGTTTGTTTTTCTCGCACACACAAAGATCAAGGGCATGTCAAACTGTGTTTTTTTGTCATTGTGAAATGAAGTTAGCACTAAACACTTTAACCCTTTCCTGTTCGCCAACAAAAACCCCCAAAAAACTGAAAAACCTGAAACAAAAATGAAGAATCTGAGGATGAAACATCGTCAACTCAGCCACACGAGTCCCACAGAGTCCGCGTGCCTCGGCTGAGGAAACGTCCCTGTGTTTATTTGTTTATTTGTTCTTCTTTACCTGTCAGAGCACAGACTGGTGTTTCAGTACGTACTGAAGCACAAATTCATGCAGTAAACAAGCCTGAAATATGAAGACAAACCAACAAAAACAACAAACACAAAACAGCGAACACAAAAACCCACACGGGTCGGATCAGAAGTGTCTCTTTTATTTTGAACTGCACTGACTGCTAAATGTTCACCTTGTACAAGAAACAAATACAAATACTCACGCTAAAAACAAAAACAAACAAACAAATAAACAAAACCAAAAAAGAAAAGAGTCATACTGCTGGCTGCCTGGTTTTCCGCTAGTGTCGCTCTAAGCGTGGTTCTGATTTTGCTCTCACTCTGAACAGGACGGCCCACAGAAGCTGGCCTTCATCATCCGAACAAACAGAACAGAGGAGGAGGAGGAGAAGGGGAGAGAGAGAGAGAGAGAGAGAGAGAGAGAGAAGGGGAGGGAGAGAGAGAGAGAGAGAGAGAGAGAGAGAGAGAGAGAGAGAGAGAGAGGAAAGAAAAGCTGGAAGGGTCACATCAGACTATGGGAAGAGGAACATTTATCTAAGCAATACAAATCTATCAGGACTGCAAAACTTCATTTTTTTATTTTCCAAACACCAAAAAAACCGCGAGAGTCTGCTTTATAAAAATACCACAACAGGGAGGGAGGAAGAAGGAAAGAGGAGGAAAGAGAAAACAGTCAGACTACCTCAACTCTTTAGGTTAACTCTGCTTTTTTTCTTATTTTTTTCATTTTTTCTCGCACACACAAAAATTTCGGAGCAAAAAAAAAATGCAAAAAAGTGTTTGTGTGTGTTTTTTTTCCTGAGTCATTGTGGAATGAAGTTAGCGCTAAACACTTTAACCCTTTCCTGTTCGTTCTGGTTTCCAACGGCAACAAAAAAAACCCAAAAAACTGAAAAACCTGAAACAAAACTGAAGAATCTGAGGATGAAACATCGTCAACTCAGCCACACGAGCTGGAAAAGAGTCCCGCAGAGTCAGTGTGCCTCGGCTGAGGAAACGTCCTTGTGTTTATTCGTTGTTGAAAAACGTCAACGTTGATGCGGAAGTGGATTTTACCGTCCTGGCGTCGACGCAGGCGTCGATCACCGGCAGCGTTCAGCATTTAGCATCAGCTAAACATGTGGCTCTGGAACAGAGTCAGAAAAGAAGAAGAACGAGCTTCAAAACCGCCTCAGCGAACAAAGAAACGGGGAAAAAATAGTCGTTTTTCTGTTTTCTTCGAGTCCACAGCTCTGCTTTGTATCCACAGGGTCAACTGAGTCCAGCAGGACCTGGAAGAGTCGCTCGTCTAGTGTGGGTTAGTATCAGCGGACAGTCCGTCGCCTTCAAGCAGTGGATATTCAGTTTATTTGGTCAACAATTTGGCTAAAACACACGCAAACTCGATGTACGGTCCTTGGCCAGACTGTACGAACTGATGGACGGATGGATGCATGTGGCCAGGAAAGGGCTAACGGCCGCTCTGTGGATCACCTGCTGGTGGGCAATCGCTTTCTTTTTTTTGTTTCCTCCTTTTTTTCTGATGTCCGATAAATATATATATAGATATACTTTATAACCACTTCTTTACTTAGCTTCATTCTTTCACACTGAAGAGAAGGAAAAAGAAAAAGGGCCTAAAACGAGGAAAAAAAACAAAAACAACACTTCAAACTAACAGTGGGAGGAAGTGGGCGGGGCTTATGGAAGGGAACGTGGTCCAGTTCGCCCCTTAGCAGTTTCTCAGAGCTCTCCCGCTAGTGGATGGGAAAGTGGGTCGTCCAATCAGACGTGAGGAGAGGAGGGGGCAGGGCGTCGCTTCGCTTCCTCCAATTATATTCGAGCCACATCCGTTTTCCCAAAGAGGATAAAAAAAATATACTGAACAAGAGAAACAAAAACAAACAAAAAAAAGTTGAATAGAAAGTTTTCTGTTGAGCAGTCCCGAGAAGTGAGCTGCAGAGTGAGTGTGTGTGTGTGTGTGTGTGTGTGTGTGTGTGTGTGCGATCATAGTCTCTTGGTCCCGGAAGGTGGGTGGTTTTCACTGAAAAGATGCTGGGATACATGTTGCCATGCCAACGGCTGCCAGTGTGCATGTATGTGTGTGTGTGGAAGAGAACAATACACCTGTAACAATGTAGATTCAGCGCTGTGCAGAAGTCAGAGACCACCCTCCGTTTCTTTAAGTCCAAACGGCTATTAAAGCACAAGTTACGCATTTTTCAGACGTTTCCGAGGTGATTAGCTGAGATAATCCACTTGTATAAGGAAAGAGAAAGACAAAGGAATTATAAAAAAAAAAGTTTCCAAAACTGGGGCCAGATTCACGAAAGTGTCTTAAGAAAGAAAACTGGTGACACTTTATTTGGACGGTCCACTGTAGGTGCTTTATAAATGCTCAGTCAGCCTTTCAATAACATTTAACTAAATACCCATCAAATTCAACACAACTTGCAGCTCAGTGTGAAAGAGTTTATTAAATCTGTCCCTAAACCCTAAACCTAACCCTAACCTTAACCTCAGGGCAAAACCGACATCTACTCCTAACCCTGACCCTGACCTTAACGCTGTTGATAATCAACTGAGGAGCACCAGGAAGACTGTTAATGATTTAAGCAGATCTAGAGCATCAATAGTGGACCATCTAAATAAAGTGAGACCAGAAAATTTCCCTAAATGTGTTTTTTTAACTTAATTCTTAAAAAAGTGACGAAAAAAAAGACGTTATTCTTCAAATAACTTCTTAAGAATTATTTTCTTTTCTTTTCTTGAAAATATGTTCTTACATGTTTTCCTAACCTTATGACAGCCTCACACTGTCTCGGGCTGTGAGGGTTGAGAAGTTGAGCGTCTAAATTAATCATTTTATCTGCTCCTCGTCCTCGTCTCTCGCTTTCCGCCGTCACCCCACAATTACTGCATTTTACCAGGAGGATTTTTTCCTGTTGGCTGTTTTTCCACCAGAGATTTTGTTTGCTAAAACTGTTTAAATGCTTGTTTTTTCCTCCAGTTTGCTCCTCTGAGTGGATTAAACTAAATAACAGAAATAACAGTTCATATAAATTCAAAATGTATCTCGTGTTGTTTATGGTATGTGCTAAAATGCAACACAGACGACATAAGAAAACAATTTTCCTAAGAAAATAATTATCTTTAGAGAAACACGTCTTTGTGTTTGTCTTAAGAACCTTCGCAAGTGTCTTCTTAAGAAATTTTGGTAACACTACTGTAGGGTGCTGTTCATAAGGCTACATGACACCTACATAAGCTTGTCATGACAACTGACATAATCTCACTTACATGTTTATAAATGTTTATTCCAATAGACGTCATCTGTCATAAAGGCTACTTAAGCTAACTTGGATCAAAATTGGTAAATGTAACCTTTATAGCGAATGATGTCTATTGGAATAAGCATTTATAAACATTTATGTATGGTTATGTCAGTTGTCATGACAACAAGCTTATGTAGGTTTCATGTAGCTTTATGAACAGCACCCTACAGCAAAGTGTTACCGACTTTTTCGTGAATCCGGCCCCTGGAGTTCAGACTGATTAACAGCTACAGAGAAAATGTGGCTCCTAACAACCACCTGGAAGAGCTGGTCGACCCCAAAACTGCCCCCATCAGATAAACAGCACTTAAAGCTTTCATCTCTGAGAGAGAGGAGAAAATCAAGCTGATCAGATCTGAAAACATCCACAGGTGTTTCTGTCCATCCTTCCACTGTGAGAAGACGACTCAGCGCTGTGGGTCTGAAAGGATGTGTAGCTGATCAAGAAGAACCTCACTGAGAAAAGGAGACGGACACATCAAACAAAGAAGCTGAACGATGGACTGACCACCCCAGAGTCCAGACCTCAACACCACTGAATGTGTTTGATTACTTCAGAAAATCATCAACCAGCTTCTAAGACTGAACTTTGGAGGTAAGAGAGGTAAAAAGTGGACACTAAATCATGAAAAATACACTGCATTTAATGGCTGTTTTGACCGCATGTTAAATAAACAAAAGGTGGTCTCTGACTTTCGCACAGCACTCCATTAGAGTGTGTTTAAGAGGTTGTGCATTTGTCTATGTGTATGTGCTACATGAGTGTGTTTGTATATGTGTGAAAGGAAGCAGTGTGTGTGTGTGTGTGTGTGTGTGTGTGTGTGTGTGTGTGTGTGTGTGTGTGTGTGGTGCTATTGCTCTGTGAGATGTTCTCTGCTCTCTCCAAGTTTGGATGGTTGGTTGGGGGAGGGGGCCTGGGAGGGGTGTGTTCCTGATGGTAGTGAGTGGGGTACAGGGACCCCGCCTGGCACCATGCCCTCCAGCGCACCAGGGAGGCCCCCCGGCGCCACCCCAACCATGCCCGGCGGAAACCTAAACACACACAGAGGTCAGAGATCAAAGCCGGGTCAGTCACAGATCAGTCAGAGGTGAACATGAGGGTCAGTGGGGGCATTTCACCAAGCAGGAGTTCCCAGTAACTCAAAGGGCCCATTTCCTGGCTAGTTCAGGTCCAGAACGTCACACTCCTCCTCCAGGCTTTTGTTCCAACTAAAGGCTTTCTAATGACGAGAACTGCTGCTCAGTAACATCTTCCGGGTTGGTCAGACACTAGAGGGCGCTGCCGAGTGAGTCCAAAATGAAAGGGTTGCTATGCGCTGCAAAAACTGGTATCTTGTCAAGTAAAATGATCTTAAATCTACTCAATAAATCTAATATTTCTCCTGGTGAGATTGTTGTAAGCTTATTTTAAGATTATTTAACTTATTTCCAAACATTTTTGACTTTAAGTAAATTGATCACTATATTGGAAAAATAATTTGCCTCGTTTTAGAAATGTGCTTGAAACCAGCAAAATTATCTCATGATTTTTGACCATTTTTCTTGATAAACTTACTTAAACCAGGTAAAAATGTCCAGAAAAAAGCTAAATAATCTTGAAATAAGTGCACAACTATCTCAGAAATATTACATAGATCAACAAGAATTAAGACGATTTCACTTGACAAGATATTATTTTGTTCAATGTGGAGCTGAGCAGACAATCCCCACTTTGGGCTCAGGCCTGAGTCACACATGCTACGTCTGCGTGGCGTTGGCGCTACAGCTGGAACACACCGGTCTTAAATTCATACAGCGTTTGAGCTGCGGAGCAGTCAGACAGTTACACAGACACTCCTGTTTCCAGATGGATAAATAGACACTTCAGTCACTCTGATCAAATAATTTATAAAAGTACACAGTATGTGTTTAGTTCTCCATTTGGAGGGGAAACCATCTCACAGAGGCTTCAGGGCTTAAAAAGGCACTTAAAATATGAGGCACAGCTCCAAAAGTCAGTATGGACATTTACACAGTCGACCTGAGATTAAATAACACTTTTCCTTTATGATTCTCTGATTTTTCTCTTTTTATCCTGTTTCATAGTCGCTCTGCATCTGGAAAACAGCTCAGCACAAAAACCAAACTTTTAACCATTTTTAAGATAAAACAATATTTTCAAGAGGTTTAACTCAGGATTTTGTATAAAACAGATTCATATTTACTTTTTATATCATTAACTTTATACTACATTTAAAAAATTACTGTATTTTATTGTAAAATTAATTTGTCAGAGATTTTGGTCACTGGTATTTTCAGGACTCTTATTCTACATTTTAACACAGTATTCTCAGCTCTATTAAACTGCCTCTTTGGGTCGAGGCTCATCAGAGAGGAAGCGTCTCAAGGCATTAGAAGGCGAGTCACTATATTTCATTAATTTATTAATAATTCTGTTGATCAGGCAGCTCATAACTTCTGTCACTGGTGTTTTGTGCTTTAATGACTGGGTAATAAATTTAGTCAAAATAATGCCAAATGTATGATTTTTATTACTGATTTTAAATACACAAGGTCACCTGACCAACAATGAGTCAGCCAGTTTACAGAATCCTCCGTTTTAACCAGAAAGTCACTGGAGTCACCGTCACTGGAGTTACACCATATTCATACAACACCAGTGACTGTAGAATGTTTGAACTGAGCTCTCCTTTCAGCATGTATGATAATAGGAGATGTTAATGGACACATTAAGATCATTTAGTTTTGGGATGAAAGAAACATGTATCCCCCTGAATTCCCACTCCAAATGGAGGACGACCCGTATTCGTTTATCCTGGACAGCATTCTGACTTCTGATTAGGCAAAAGTTTCAAGCCTGGTAGACCAACCAGAAAATCTGTCTGCAGCACAGAGTGTTTAACTAGTATTTCGCCATGAATTCAATAAAATAAAAAAAGAGTTTTTATACAGTTTTCTATTTAATTTTCAGTGATTTTCATAGCTTATTTCAGTGTATTTTGCTGCGAGACGTGTGCGGTCTGTTCTCTAAACACAGTGCTGCCTCACGCCGCAGACGCAGTAAGTGTGAATCAAGTTATCCAGCTTACTGAGAAATCCTGCTTATTAATTCAGTCCAATTCGTGAGTGTTCTGTGTTCAGTAACGGAGCCAAAGCAGCACTGCTGATCATCTCTGGGGAGAAAACACGCTTCACCTGTCCACTCCGTCTGAACACAACATCAAAGTGACTCCTGAGTAAATTAAAATCAAAGCAGAAGTGCAAAAAAAAAAAGAGTACAAAGACAACAGAGCAGCATGAGCCGAGACCAGACATGTGCAGGGTGCACTAACGTTGACTGAAAAAATGAGTCGTGAAAAATAAAAGGTAAATGTTTACTATCCAAAACAAAACTAGCCAAATCACACAAAAAGAGAGCAGAAGTGGTGGAGAAAGAGGAGTGGGAGAACTAAGCCCTATTTGAGCTGGATTAGTTTTACCAGAGGAGGTCTGGAGGTGTAATTTGCGATCTGACTGGCCGATTCGTACTGGATAAAGTATCTGCTGATTACCCTGAATTACCCCCAGGGTCGTACCGTAACAGCCTGGACATTCACGCCAGCATTGAGGTTAAAATTAAACAGGTCCAATTAACTTCCAGTTAATGTCAGATAGAACAGCATTAGACTAGTAAAGTGGGCTCGTTAAGCTAACACATCCACTACAGAGAACACAAGGGGAACTCCACCAACTGTTCAAAATTTGGTTTGGTGTAAAATGGTTCAGATGTCTTTACAGTGGTGGTGATAGGAACCAGGGGTCGCCATGACTACAACACAAATATAGACATTTTATTTACTATCCAGAACCACCAGTGAACCTACACGAGTCTTCTGAGTTTATATGGAATGTTGATGATGGTGATAAATCTGAAAAAGTGGGATTATTTTGCCTCAACACCCTGCATGTACCTCCTCACAATTAACATACCCTAAAAAAACCCTTTTTAGGCCAAAACACTCTCAAAATTATTGTAGAACAGTGTCTCCGACTTCAGGCAGCGTATTTCGTGTAACAACTTCCTGTGAGGGAGATTTTAGAGGTGTTAAACTCTTCAGACGTCTGGTTCCGGAAATGTGCATAAGTGTGTTCTCTGTAGAGGATATGAAAACTTATTCACACAAAAAAAAACACTTCTGCATGCTGCTGTACTTTCAAGATATTTCATTTTCCTTCTCTTTCTACTCAGCTAAAATGATGTAGATTACAGCAGTGCATGTTGAATTTGAGGATAAAGGAACTGTGCCGAGCCTCATCTCAGCGGTTAAAACTCGAACACGACTACAGTTATTCGCTCTGGAATCATTACTCGACAGATTTAAGCAGCGTTGGGACAGGATAAGATCTGCACAGGGTGTTGGGTAATGTAGTTTAAGCACAGGACATCTAATGTTTATGACATATTTGTATACAATAAATCCTACTATAAATTACAGAGATGGGAGCGGCTGCTTAATTTACGCATCACACCAAAAAAAGCTACATAAGCTATATTTAAGCAGTAGAACCCGAGAGGGAGTGTTATCATGAAATAACATTGCGGCTGTGATGTTATTGGTGATAACACACTCCTCGAGTGTTCTACTGCTTTAATACAACAGTTAAATAAATACAGTAATAAATTAATAAACTGGGCCGTGAACGCGGCGTTTAATATGTTTTAATGTTCGCAGTTCCTTCACCAAATTAGAGTTCCTTAACGAGCAGCTTGTTGCTACGTCAGAGTAACGAGCTCCGCCCACTCGCTGCACAGCCGGCAGTTCGTTCTCCAGCTCCTCACACTAAATTCCCAAACTGTCATCACCACTGAGCAGCTTTTCAGTCGGCAGCTGTGACAGAAGAACAGCTGAACAACCTGGAATCAGCCAGAAATGAACCCAACACCATTCGCCAAACGTGTAGTCTGATCTTCAGAGTCTGACCAAATCAGACTGAGCCATAAAACTGACCCAATATCAAGTTCAGCTCAGTTTTGTCAGTTTTTGCCAGATCAGTATTAATGTTGTTTTGTTCCAGCCAGTCTGTAAAGCATCTTACAGCCCATTTAGTTTGGCGAATGGTGTTGGGTTCATTTCTGGCTGATTCCAGGTTGTTCAGCTGTTCTTCTGTCACAGCTGCCGACTGAAAAGCTGCTCAGTGGTGACGACAGTTTGGGAATTTAGTGTCGTCTCATCTTCAGAGTCTGACCAAATCGGCTGTCGGTCAAATGTGATCTTAAAAGTGTCCGTTTTCTGTTTGTGGTGAAGTAAGAAGTAAAAATGTTCAGATCTCTTGAGCGTCTCCTACAGCTGTCACAGTCGTTGCTTAGCAACGGCGTCTCAGCGGAGTGATACAGTGTTTGTGAAAAACCTGTGATGTTATGGTGAAATAACAGCTCAGTTAGAACGCTTCTCAACCAATCAGCTCGCGTGGCCGGAACTCACTGTTGTATAATCATGGTTATATATATGGCTCATTTTGTGGTACAGGATTAATATAATCTGAGGTTATTTCTACAGTTTGTTTTATAGCACAGTATTAAGTTAACCTGGCATTATTTATATGGTTTGTTTTATACACGGGAATAACATATAATCTGGGGTTTTATATAATTTGATTTATACATGGGATTCATTTAACCTGG